GTCTCGGTTCTTGTGGCTCTGTCCTGGCCGGCGTCCGATAGGCCAGCTTGCCCGGGCTCCGGTCACCTGTTTCTGGCCTGGTGTCTTCCAGGCGTGTGGAAGGTGTGTGCAGAGGTGGCTGCTGGTCTGATGGAGGGAGGGAGGCGCGGGCCCGGCTGAGCGGCCACGCGTGGACCGGCAGGGTGGAGGAAGCGGATTCTCTCCAGAGGCAGCGCGATGCGGGCCCACCCTCAGGTTTGAACCACACCGCCGATTCTGCCGCCTGCCAGCCTGCGTGGCCGGCTGTGGGCTTCTTGGGCATCGCAAGAGCAGAGCCTCCTCCCTGTCGTGGAGCTCTTCACTGGTGTCTCTGAGACACTTGGAGGGAGCACCCCCCGCCCACGTCCTGAACTTTGCGGTACTGACAGAAGAGGGCGCCGTGGAGCCAGGACTCTTGTCAAGGCCAACCCCTCCCATCCTCTGGCTCCTCTTCTCAGCCTTGGCCCTTCTTATCCGGGGAAGTCTGGGTCCCGTCTGGGTCCCGGGGTCGGAGCAGAAGCTGCAGGCTGTGCTCCATCCCCGAGAGCACGCTGGCGGTGGTGGGGTGGTTCTGGGAAGACCCAGGCAGACGGACAGATGGACAGATGGACGGACAGACAGTAAGCAAGGAGGGAAGACGTGGACACCTTCACGGGAGGGTGAGGGTGGAGAGCAGTGGGGTGTGGAGGCCGAGGTTTGGGTGTGGAGGCCGAGGTTCGGGTTTCACTTCTAGGGGTGGCTTGGCAGCACAGATCTGCTGACGGGGGATGGGCACTGCGCCATGGGAGGGGGGAGGATGCTCCAGGCAGGGGTGCAGAGATGGGAGCAAAGGCAGAGGAAGGAAGCGGGGGGCGGGGGGGGGCGGGAAGGGTGAGCCCTCCTTGCCTGCCAGTTGGAGCGGCCCAGATTCTGGATGAATTGTGAGGACCCCTCGGGACTTGATGGGCAGACGCAGATTGTGATGGGTGAGGACTCAGCAAAGCAGCGGGCACGGGATGCGGCGTGGCGCGCGTGGGGGTGGCATGCGTGGGGTCCCAGCTTGGACCCCCTCCCCCTCCCCTGCCCTCCCCCCCACTACTGCAGAAACTAACGCCACACACAAGCTAAACAGAACTAAGAATCCTGAATGGAATAGAAAAACATGAGACAAAACACAAAGTACAAGCAAGATGATTCCTTTTCCTGATGAAAGGGTTTAGGAGAAGGAAGTCAAGGATGCTGCCTGACGGTTCTTTTTTCCTCCTAACTACAGTGTTGGCTTTTAACTGATAGGAACAATCAGGAAAAATGGATTCTGGAGAGAGCATCATTTTGTGGACTTCTTTCCCCAACGTTCTCATGTGATTTCAAGTTACTCAGTGTGTGATCTGTCTCCCAAAAGATCAGAAATGAGGGCGTGTGTTCTGCTCTTAAAATGAAGCAGCAGGAGCCCAAGGTGGAGAAGGCGCACGTGTAGGCGCAGGAGGCCCAGGCGGGAGGATCGTGAGTTTGAGGCTGTCTGGTCCCTTTAAAATCTTGTCTCAGAAAACCGAGTTAATTCATTAAGTAAGGAGAATGAGCGATGAACTGGACGGGCCTGGGAGGCTGCAGGGGCAGAGCAGACGCTGGCAGCAGACGCTGGCGGCAGAGACAGGTCTGCCCAGCGCCATGGCCGCCCGCCGGGGCCTGGTGGTATCGCCCCTGCGGGGGGGGGGGGGGGGGGACGTGCCCACGTGCCCTGGCTGTCCCGCCGCCTGCCCTGTCCCCGCCCAGCCAGCTCTGCTGCTATCTGACAGCCATCTAAATGCCGAGCGACCGCATGGGAAGCTCAGCCTCATCCTGAGCACATCCCTCCTGGTGAGACCAGACGCCTTTGCTTTCAGTCAAGAGGCCCAGAAGTAGCTGTCTGAGTTGGGGCCCCTGTTTCTTTATGTAGAAAGTCGAGTTCCTACTTGGGCTTCTTTTCCTTCGTTCCTCAGCTTCCAGAAGTGTGGCCCTCGGAGGCTGGGGCTCTGCTTTCCATCTGTTGCAGGTCGCAGTGCGTTCTCTGGAACGATGTCTCCTCCTCACCAGCCCTGTGCCGGCTCCCCTCCCTTGCCTCTTGTCACGCGGGGGAGCGGGCGAGCTGACGCCGTCCTGATGTCGCGTGAATTCCCCTGGCGCTGGAGAGTGGAGCGCTCTTCACAGACGGGTGGCACCCGCCCTGAGAGCTGCGTGCGGGTGGCACCCGCCCTGAGAGCTGCATGCGGGTGGCACCCGCCCTGAGAGCTGCGTGCGGGTGGCGTCCTCACCGCCCTGAGAGCTGCGTGCGAGTGGCGTCCCCCCCCACTGCCCTGAGAGCTGCGTGCGGGTGGCGTCCTCACCGCCCTGCGAGCTGCATGCGGGTGGCATCCCCCCCACTGCCCTGAGAGCTGCGTGCGGGTGGCATCCCCCCCCCCCGCCCTGAGAGCTGCGTGCGGGTGGTGTCCCCCCCCCCGCCCTGAGAGCTGTGTGCGGGTGGCATCCCCCCCCCACTGCCCTGAGAGCTGCGTGCGGGTGGCGTCCTCACCGCCTTGAGAGCTGCGTGCGGGTGGCGTCCTCACTGCCCTGAGAGCTGTGTGCGGGTGGCATCCCCCCCCCCCCCGCCCTGAGAGCTGCGTGCGGGTGGCGTCCTCACCGCCTTGAGAGCTGCGTGCGGGTGGCGTCCTCACTGCCCTGAGAGCTGTGTGCGGGTGGCATCCCCCCCACTGCCCTGAGAGCTGCGTGCGGGGTGGCGTCCTCACCGCCCTGAGAGCTGCGTGTGGGTGGCGTCCTCACCGCCCTGAGAGCTGTGTGCGGGTGGCGTCCTCACTGCCCTGAGAGCTGCGTGCGGGTGGCATCCCCCCCACTGCCCTGAGAGCTGCGTGCGGGTGGCGTCCCCCCCACTGCCCTGAGAGCTGCGTGCGGGTGGCATCCCCCCCACTGCCCTGAGAGCTGCGTGCGGGTGGCATCCCCCCCCCCCCCGCCCTGAGAGCTGCGTGCGGGTGGCGTCCTCACCGCCTTGAGAGCTGCGTGCGGGTCGCGTCCCCCCCCCCCCCCCCCCCCCGCCTTCAGAGCTGCTGGCGGGTGGCATCCTCCACCATTGTGAGTGACCCGGCCGAGCCAGCGTTGCATCCCTCACGGGCGGCGACGTGGACAGCGGCTGCACGTGGAACTCCAGGCCGCTGATTTCACAGCAGCCCTAGGAGCCGTGCGGAGCCCAACCCCCCCCCCCCCGGGGTGGCGCACGCAGGAGAACCGCAGAACAGCACGCCTGACCCAGGCGTCTTCCCAACGCTGGGCTCTCCCCACGCTCTGCAAGGGTCCCCAGAGGTGCCTGGAGCTCAGAGCCTCAGGACTGCGAATCTGTTTATTCCACTCAGTGCGCGCGACGCATGAGACCATGGTCTCTGGCGTGGCCCCTGGGCGTGGCCGTGGCCCCTACAACCGTCCAAACCCCCATCGGGCCCAGCTCCCCGTGACCCTGCTGAACTCCAGAGCCCGCACCCTCGGTCCCGCCACCGTCCTGGGCCCGTCGTTCTAGGCGCGGACACTGCACGGCACCGGGCCACACGCCCCTCGCCCATGCCAGCCCCGTCTGCAGGCTCTGTTCGGCGCAGATTGAGAAACCTCCCTTTTCCATCTTCCAACAGAAGTGACTTGCGAAGCAGGAAAATGCCCTGTGGGAGACGCAGGCCCGTAAAGTGGTCAGTAACTGAAGCAACGTGTTTGCACGTCCTCCTCTGACGAGCTCATCCGATGCACTCCGCTCCCACTCCACGTAAACTTTTGCCATCCCAAGACTGGATAAAAATAAATGCCTGTGCCCAGAGCTCTACCGGGAGCATCCCAGAGACGTGACACATGGCCCAAGCCTGAACCGGGCCGCGGAGGGCGGCTGGCATAGAACCCAGCTGCTGCCCCAAACGCCACATTGCTAGAGCCGTGCCACTGTGCGTGCGCGCTTTCATTTCATTCTTGTGCAGTTTGGCTTCCAATGCACACAAAGACGCTGTCTATAGAAATGAGAAAACAATGCCCCCCCTCGCCCCCCCCCCCGTGGCTCCGCCCTGCTGTCTTGTGCCTTTCTGTGGGGTAGGGCTGTACATTAAGGTGATTTGCTGTCCTGTTAAAAAGGGAGTCTGATTCCTTTGATGGGGCGGAGCGGTGCCCCTGGCAGCTCTGTGCGGACTCCTCGCCCTGGGCTGCGGGGCTGAGGTGCTGATGGGTGGCTAGTGGAGCGCAGGAAAGCCGCGGGATGGTTATTGCATCCAAAACCCCAGCGGAAGAGACCGCGGAGCGTGGCCAGCGTGAGGACAGACTCAGGGTTATTGAACAGGACTACTTCTGTTGGTTGTTATTCTGAAAGGATCCAAGCATCGGTGTTCTCCTGGACAGTGCATGCCTAGAATCAAGGAATATTCTGGGGTCTCCATGTTCCTAAGGTGAACCTACAGTGTCTGCTCTCAGCCCTCGCCACATCTCCGGGGAAGCCACCTGTCATTTGCATCTATGCAACGTCGGCCTGGGTAGACCTGTGTGTTCCAGCGCTGGCCAGGACTTTGAGATGGAAAAGAGGATGCGAGGCGAGGCACTCAGTACAGCGGGGCCTGGCAGGGGCAGCAGCGTCTGAGAGAGTGTGTGGTGTTTGCTCAGGAAGTGGAAGAGATTGCCAGGAGCTGGGAGCTGTTCACGTGGCTGCCTTTGTGCACAGAGATGCGCCGCATGCCGCCCCCACGCCCGGGGCACAGGTGCCGCCCGGCAGCGGAGGAAGAACCAGGGAGAAGAGGTGCGTGGAACGTGAACTCCGCCACCTGACCCCATGCCGGCGCCCTGACCCCATGCCGGCGCCCTGACCCCATGCCGGCGCCCTGACCCCATGCCGGCGCCCTGACCCCATGCCGGCGTCCTGGGCAGAGTGACTCACTCACACTCTCTTTCTAGAACCATTATATACGTTATGCTTATGATAAAAATCGAAAAATGTAGATATAAAACTTTAAACCATGCCCAATGGAGGCAACTGGGTGAAGAAAATTCCGTGGCATTTTTCTTAGATCCAAGAGCTGGCGACGCAGCGTGCTTCCCTTTAGCTGGAAGGAACATACCTGTTTTGCTGGCACAGGGGTGTGGCTCGTGGAGTTCTTGTGGTAACAGGTGTCTCTCCAGAGCTGGGTCTGCTCTCGGGGTACTCTCTAGAAGTCCTATTTCCAAAGTGGCTCTCCTGTCCACTGGCACAGTCTTTCTAGAAAGGTTTAAATGTCTGCTATTTTGAAAATTGTGTTCCATTTTCTGCTTTCGAGTTTGCAAGCCCGGGGTGGAGCAGCCTTCCCGGCGAGGAGGGAGGTGCTGGGCTGAGCTCTCAACCCGCCAGGGCCTTGCCCATGTCTGTGGCCGGGGCGCTGCCAAAGTGAAGAAAATGCCTGCTTCTGGTTTTTCTGTCAACACAATGTTAAGGAAACTCAGGCCTAATAAAAATGCGGATGGAACTCACATTGCTGAATCGGTGGGATGTTTCGCTTTGTTTCGTGGCACTGTGATTAACACGGAAGACACTGCAATGAATGGGAGCGCCTTCGTCTTCGCTGTTTCTCAGAGGACGGGCCGTCAGGCTGCACCGTGCAGGACTGGAAGGCCCGTGCTGAGCAGGGGCAGGGCCTCTCCTATCTTTCTTTCAAACAAATAGGCGTGAAATTAATGACTTTTTAAAATTTAAAATTAGGTATCTTTAATTCACAGGTCAGATCTAGAGGTATCTTGTGAATAAATCAATCTTTGGAAACTATACTTAAATTAGAAATACGTATATAAAGTTATGGATTATATACTTGTATATTAATATATGACAGTTGTAATATATTTATATACTTATATATAATAGCTATGTTATATATTTATAATATATAAGCATGCATATATTATAAATATGTATATAGTTTACAAGCTAAAGCCCCCTTACATCAGATACTATCACAGTTTTTGGCCTGCCTGCCTGCCTGCCCTCCCTTCCTTCCATTCTTTCTTTCGTCTTGTAGTGGGTCTTGAACTCTGGGCCTGGGCACTGTCCCTCAGCTCTTCAGCTCAAGGCGAGTATTCTACCACTTGAGCCACAGCGCCACTTCCCGTTTTCTGGTGGTTTCTTGGAGATAAGAGTCTCATGGAGTTTCCTGCCTGGGCTGGCTTTGAACCGTGATCCTCAGATCTCAGCCTCCTGAGTAGCTAGGATTACAGACGTGAGCCACCAGCACGCGGCTAGTTCCTGGCTTTTCCATGAGTCTTCTAGTTGAATACCATTGTGAGCGGATGAGGTCCAGGGTCCTTGCTTTTGCCAGCCGTATTCCCAAGTGTGGGAAGCACCGTGGCGTGACTTTCCACAGTCGGCACTTGAAGTGGCTGCAGTAGTGATTGCTCCCACTTTAACTTTCAGAAGAGAACAAAATGGGGTCCGGCTCCCGGCCTGCCCACACTCCACACCATCTTGTGTCTCTCTGGGCTCGGAACTCACATGAGAACGTTTCCTCACATCTCCGTCCGTCTCCGGATCCTGGCTCGTGTCTCCCTGAACTGTCCGTCTGTCCTTTCCCAAAGTGTTCTCCCCATTCCCAGCTGCGTGTCCTCTCCGCCACCTTCGGCGTCCCCGTCTGTACCAGGGCTACGGAGATCCACAAGTACAGAAGGAGGGAAGTGAAGGGCGGTTCCCCAGAACCCCCAGAGGCAGGGAGGAGGCCGGGAGTCACTGCAGAAGGTGGCGGGCGGACGGTGGCTGGTGTAGCGGACCCGGGCCACCCAGTCTTCCGCCTCATTCACTCGGAAATCATGTTCCTCCACAAACCCTCTTCCGACTCAAGATCTTATTTCTTTTTTTTCCCAAACCAACAAGTCCAGTCCTCCGTAAGGGAAAAAAATTGAAAAATTATTTCTTTAAAGCGAAGAAAAGAATATTTACTAAGGACCATTAACTCTTTGCTGGAAAATTGACATAAAATAACAGATATTAAAAAAATCAATTTGGGAGTAATTTCCCTGATGCACGACCTGTGCAGATGACAGCTTTACTATCTGCCGAAAGTAAGAATATATTGTACAGAAAAGTGTAGTAATAGAAAAAAAATTCAGTACATATTTTAGAAGACAAAGTTAACAAGCTCTCCCAGAGCATAATTCGAAAACAAATAAGTGGAAATAGGGCAGGAAAGAAAAGAAAATTGAGGAAAAAATGATGGAATGTCCATCATCTCAAAGAGGCTTTCAAAATAAAACATAAAAGCAAGAAAAAAGTTATTCCTATTTGTGTTGGTCCTGGGCTTGAACTTAGGGCCTGAGCACCGTGCTGTGCTTCTTTTGCTCAAGGCTAGCGCTCTACCACACCAGCCACCGCTCCACTTCCAGCTTTTATATGTGATTAGTTAGAGACAAGAGTCTCACAGATGTTTCTGCCTGGGCTGGCTTTGAACCGTGAGCCTTATATATCAGCCTCCTGAGTAGCTAGGATTACCACTGGTGCCTGGCAAGAAATAATTTTTTTTTTTAAGAACCTGGGTAAGAATATTTCACAGAACCCCGCCCCCCCAGCATCTCCCCTAGATTAAGAGCTTTTCATAGCCAGGCACATGCAGGTCATTTTTGCCTTTGGGTTTTAGCAGGAGGCTGAACTGGAAAGGACGCTGTAGGCAGCCATTGGTGGTAGCTGTTACTCATCTTTATGAGTTATGAGAAAACCACATGGAAACAATTAGGGAGCACAAAGTGTGCTTGGTGCACCTGTGCGGTAGACGGTGAGAGGGACGTGGAGGCTTATTGGACGAGGCTCAGCCAAGCCCTCAGGTTCCACTGCGGCACTCCACAGGTAACGGCACACCTGGAAAAGCAAGAAACAGCAACATGGCCACGCTGTCAGGAAACAAGGCTTTCAAGGATAAGGAAGGCATCAGGCTAAGGATAGCTCCCTCCCCTAAATAATCTCCCTCCAGAATACAGTCATAGAAACCATTCCTTAGTCACTAGAAATCAGGTAAAGACCCAACTTAGAGATTCTTACTGTCATGTGGCGTCTGTGGTGGTCACTTTCCTAAATGTAAGGAGTAGACTCTTCAATTAAACACGAGTCCTGGTGGTCACGGTCGCTAAAGCAGTCCCTGGTGAGTGAGCATCTTTGAAGAGTCTCTGGGACTGGCCCAGCCTCTTGAAGTCCTGTTACTAAGTTCCTTGTCTGTTGCTGGAGGGCTGGCTGTTTGTGGCTGGGAGGAGGAGGAGGAGGAAGGAGGAGTGGGGAGGAGGAGGGAGGAGGAAGAAGAGGGAGGAGGAGGACTGAGGGAAGGGAAGAGGGAGGAGGAGGGAGGAGGAGGAGGAGGGAGAGGAGGGAGAGGAGGAGGGAGGAGGGAGGAGGAGGGAGAGGAGGAGGGAGGAGGAGGAGGAAGGAGAGGAGGAGGGAGAGGAGGAGGGAGAGGAGGAGGAGGAGGAGGAGGAGGGAGAGGAGGAGGAGGGAGGAGGAGGAGAGAGAGGAGGAGGGAGGAGGAGGAGGAGGGAGAGGAGGGGGGAAGAGGCGGGCAGAGGCCGGCCAGGGTGCTGGCTAGTGGGGTCTCCTGAGCCACTGGTGGCCGTCTTCAGAGAGGCCGGCCCTGGGCCGCTTGGCCCTGCTCTCTGGGCTCCATTCTGCCGGACCTGGCGGCCTTGGGGTTCCCGGTTAGGGTCTGTAAGACTCCAGGGGACTGGAGGAGGGGTGGCAGCCTGGGGGAGGGCGGGGGGGGGGGGGGCCAGGAAGGGAGGGCAGGGGAGGACGAGGGAGGACCACGGAGGGAGGGCGGAAGGGAGGGCCATGGAGGGAGGGAGGGAGGACGAGGGAGGGGAGGGCGGTGCAGGGCGGGTGGGGGGGGCGGCGCCCTGGCCATCGGCGTTCCCAGCTCGCTGGCCTCTAGGTAGCCAGGAAGGAAGGGGGAGGGAGGCCGGACGGGAGGCGTGGGACGGCGGGCACGGGGCGCGGGGCGGGCGCGGCGGGCGTCAGGGTGGGCGCGGGGCGGGGCGGGGCGGGGCGGGCGGGCGCGGCGGGCGTCGGGGCGGGGCGGGCACAGGGCACGGGGCGGGCGTCGGGGCGGGCGCGGGTGGGCGGGGCGGGCACGGGGCGCGGGGCGGGCGTCGGGGCGGGGCGGGCACGGGGCGCGGGGCGGGCACGGGGCGCGGGGCGGGCACGGGGCGCGGGGTGGGCACGGGGCGCGGGGGGCGGGGTAGGTGGGGCGGGCGTCGGGGCGGGGCGGGCACGGGGCGCCGGGGGCGGGGTGGGTGGGGCGGGCGTCGGGGCGGGGCGGGCGCGGCGGGCGTCAGGGTGGGCGCGGGGCGGCGCGGGGCGGGCGTCGGGGCGGGGCGGGGCGGGCACGGAGCGCGGGGTGGGCACGGGGCGCGGGGTGGGTGGGGCGGGGCGGGGCGGGCGTCGGGGCGGGCACGGGGCGCGGGGTGGGCACGGGGCGCGGGGTGGGTGGGGCGGGGCGGGCGCGGCGGGCGTCAGGGTGGGCGCGGGGCGGCGCGGGGCGGGCGTCGGGGCGGGGCGGGGCGGGCACGGAGCGCGGGGCGGGCACGGGGCGCGGGGTGGGTGGGGCGGGGCGGGCGCGGGGCGGGGCGGGCGTCGGGGCGGGCACGGGGCGCGGGGTGGGCACGGGGCGCGGGGGGGCGGGGTGGGCGGGGCGGGGCGGGCGTCGGGGCGGGGCGGGCGCGGCGGGCGTCAGGGTGGGCGCGGGGCGGGGCGGGGCGGGGCGGGGCGGGGCGGACCGCTGACCCGCCCCGCTCGCTCGCTCGCAGGCGCGGCTTGGCGGGCGGGCGCCCGGCCCGGCGGCAGACGGTGGGCCGGGAGAAGGGCCGGCGTCCGGCGGCGCGCGGGCCGGCCTACATGCTGAGCGAGCGCGCGGCGCGGCCGACCCCGGACGAGGAGCGCTTCCTGGACGCGGCCGAGTACGGCAACGTGCCGGTGGTGCGGCGCCTGCTGGAGGAGCGCGCGGCGCTGGACGTGAACTGCGTGGACTACCTGGGGCGCAGCGCGCTGCAGCTGGCCGTGGCCAACGAGCACCTGGAGGTGACGGAGCTGCTGCTCCGCCAGGAGCCGCTGGCGCGCGTGGGCGACGCGCTGCTGCTGGCCATCAGCAAGGGCTACGTGCGCATCGTCGAGGCCCTGCTGGGCCACCCGGCCTTCGCGCAGGGCCGGCGCCTGGCGGGCAGCCCCGGCCGGGCCGAGCCGCGCGACGACGACGACGACTTCTACGCCTACGACGAGGACGGCACGCGCTTCTCGCACGACGTGACGCCCATCGTGCTGGCGGCGCACTGCCAGGAGTTCGAGATCGTGCACATCCTGCTGCGGCGCGGCGCGCGCATCGAGCGCCCGCACGACTACTTCTGCAAGTGCGCGCGCTGCGCCGAGCGCCAGCGCCGCGACGCCTTCAGCCACGCGCGCTCGCGCATCAACGCCTACCGGGGCCTGGCCAGCGCCGCCTACCTGTCCCTGGCCAGCGAGGACCCCGTCAGGACGGCGCTGGAGCTCAGCAACGAGCTGGCCGTGCTGGCCAACATCGAGAAGGAGTTCAAGGTGGGTCCCGCGGGGCGGCCCGGCCCCGCCCGGGGTCCCCGCGGGGAGGTGGAGCCCTTGCTGGATGTCCCGCAGCGCGGGAGGCCGGGCCCACCTGGATAGCAACCACACGGCGCATTTTCCCCAACAGAACGCATCATCACCCCTCTCAAGATGAACCGTGATTTTTCATGAAAATACGTTTTTACTTATACGTTTTTTATTGTAAAAATGCTGCACAGAGGGGTCACGGCTACCCGAGCTAGGTCATGAGTGCATTTCCTGTGGAGCATTGTTGCCTCCTCCTTTGTGTTCCCCCCATCCCTTCCCTCCCACCTCCAGGACTGCACCCCCCCCCCAAATTGTCAAGTTCGTTTTCAACATAGTGTCTTGTACATCTCATTGTTACAATGGGTCAACCTGTATCCCTATTGAAGCCTTTTGTGTTTTCCCTTCCCCTCCCCAAATTGGAGAAGTGTATATACAAGATGCAGGGCACCGACATCAAATACAGTGAAAACGGGTTATACTGGGGGGGGGGGGAGGGACACATACAAAGCAACAAAAAAAATCACATGGTACGTTATACATACATTAGAAACAATAGCAAGAAAGAAAAAGCCACTTGTGTCCCTCTCTTGGGGTTCATTTCACTTAACTTCATCTTATCCGGTCATAGGTAAAAATACATTATTTTTGAGACAGGATCTTACTACCTAGCCCCTTCTGGCCTTGAATTTGCAATCTCTGAGAGCTGGGATTACAGGTGGAAGCCACCATACTTGGCTTAGCTTTCTTTTCTCTAAAGAAGAATACCGATGAATGGCTCAGAAGTAGATTTATCTTTTGGCCTTGTGTTTAGCACATAAAATTCCCCCAGAACCATGTTAAGAAGGTAATTGTATTTGTCTGGTTTTCTCTGCTCCTGCCGGAATGTTCTGATTGTCGAGTTCATGACACCGCTTATAGAGTCTTCTAAAGACCCATCAAGCGGATATTGTGCACCTCGCTCCTGAAATTGCGACCAAAGAGGATGTGGTGTGCACAAGGCAAAGGGAAGGCAGAGTCCTTTCTCTCGAATGGCAGTTGAGCTTGGCGTAAAAGAACCTTTATTAGCGACGATGGCAATGCTCTGGGCACCTTTTATTCATTAGAGAACGAGGGGAATCCTCATAGTGACAGAGCCCAGCGCGCAGGTTAATGGGACAGGCGGGAGATGAGTGAATGGCGGTAGCAGTGAGCGCGGACTTCTCAGCCGTCCGGCTCCTCCCGCCGCCAGGCCCCGTGTAGCCCGCGGACAGCCTGCCTCCACCCTTCGCTTTTTCTTTGTCGTCACTAGAACGACTACAAGAAGCTGTCCATGCAGTGCAAGGACTTCGTGGTGGGCCTTCTGGACCTGTGCCGGAACACGGAGGAGGTGGAGGCCATTCTGAACGGCGATGTGGAGACGCGGCACCCCGGGGATCACGGCCGTCCGAACCTCAGCCGCTTGAAGCTCGCCATTAAGTACGAAGTAAAGAAAGTAAGCGCCGTTTCAGTTTTTACCGGTGCTCAGGAGGCAGCCTCGGCCCTGGTCGGGGAAGCGGGTGCTTCTGGTGGCAGGGCTGGCCGGTCTAGACGGGTGTGCGCGGATGCCACGCGATGGTTCCTCTGCCCCACGTGTCCCCGTCTTAACTGTGACTCCTCACCTGACATCGGAACAGGCACCTGTGGCCGTGTGTCTGACGCCCTCCGTTTTTCCCTCTGTTGCTTTTTCCAATGTCTACAACTCCTTAACGCCCCGGAACCCTGCCGCTGTATCTTCGTGGAGTACCTTTGCGTTTGGCTGCTGTCTTTTCTTCTTCTTCTTTCAGTCATGGGTCTTGAACTCAGGGCCTAGGCGTTATTCCTGAGCTGTTTTGCTCAAGGCTAGCGCTCTACCACTCAGGCCATAGTGCCACTTCTGGTTTTCTGGTGGTTGATTGGAGATAAGAGTTTCACGGACTTTCCTGCCCAGCCTGGCTTTGAACCATGATTCTCAGATCTCAGTCTCCCGAGTGTCTAGGATGGCAGGCGTGAGCCACTGGCATCTGGTGCTTCTGTCTTAATGTAGGGGTCCCTTCTCACTGCCTTGTTAGGATATATAAAACCTTTTTTGGGGTGCCTGTCCTGGGGCTTGGGCTCAGGGCCTGAGTGCTGTCTCTCAGCTTTTTCACTCAGAGCTGGGGTTCTACCACTTGAGCCTCAGCTCTGCTTCCAACTGTGTTGGTTAATTGGAGAAAAGGGTCTCATGGACTTCCCTGACCAGGCTGGCTTCAAGCCATGATCCTCACATCTCAGCCTCCTGAGTAGTTAGGATGATAGGCGTGAGCCACTGGCACACAGCAGTAAAAATCTACTTTAAAATGTTTTAAAATAAATGTCATCCCTAGTTGTGGAAGTGTGTAATCAATGCAGGCACACCACCTCCCCATGTAACCAGTTCCGAACAAAGAGGACTCACCCACTGTACGCTTCTCAGTGAAAACCGATTTGTGTTGGTACCACGCGTGTTAGGGCCTCTGGCAGTCTTGCTCACTGGAAGTTGCGTGCACATGTGTGTTTGTGTATGGTGTGTGCATGCTTTAACACTAGACTTCCCACGAGAAAGCGCAGGGCTATATGTGTGAGTGTGCAGGCCGAGCCTGGCCATGCTCCATGAGAAAGCGCAGGGCTGTGTGTGTGAGCGTGCGGGCCGAGCTCCTGTGAGCGCGCGGGCCAAGCCCATGTAAGCGCGTGGGCCAAGCCTGGCCTGCTCCAGCCGGCCTGTCCTGCCTCTTCCCCCCAGTTCGTGGCTCACCCAAACTGCCAGCAGCAGCTCCTGTCCATCTGGTACGAGAACCTTTCTGGCTTGCGGCAGCAGACGATGGCCGTCAAGTTTCTGGTGGTCCTGGCGGTGGCTGTGGGGCTGCCCTTCCTGGCTCCCATCTACTGGTGTGCTCCGTGCAGCAAGGTACGCGAGGGGGCCGCGGGGGATGGAGGATGGGGGATGGGGGACAGGGATGGGACAGGACGCTGGCTGGGGGGGGATGGGACGCCGGCTGCATCCACTCCCCAAATGACAATTTCATAGAAGCACAGTTGCGCTGTCTTTATTGTTTTGAAAATTAAATACATACTTATTTGGGGAAACAAGAAAAAATGCAAAGAAGAAAAAATCCGCCTGTGCCATCAGCACCGTCAGACGATGGAAAAGCCTCTGCCGTTACCAGTCGGTCTGCGTCATTGTTCTAGGTGTACAGACGCTTTGTTACACGTTAATGAGGTCTTAGGGTTGTTAAACTGTGGTTTCAGGTTACTCCCTAAAAGATGGTCGTCATAACTTCGTTTGTCCTCTAGTAACGCTTGAGGTGAGAGGTACAATGGCGCTTGTTTGGGCCAGCATCGTTGGCTACATTCTGTGCGGGACCTTCGTGAAGGAGGGGCCCGTGGCTGTTGCAGTTAGGGATATGTATATCAGCCACAGAGTGCACTGGACACTGTCGCTGCGCGCGTGCCTGCTTTCCTAGCAGAGTTTCATTTGCCCAGGCTTTGGCCAAGTCCCGCCTGGCTTTCGGGTGAGGGTTCAGCGGCACAGCCCTGCTCGGTGGACGCAGCGGCCGGGGAAGGGGCTCTGTTTTGGCCCAGCCCGGTGTGCCTTCTGCTAACCAGCTTCTCTTCGTGTGTCCGAAGCCACCTGCCCGGGTGTGTGTGATTTTCAGACCCGAGCGGCAGACCGGAGTCCTTCAAAGCTAACTGCCCCCAGACCTGTCTCTTTAGTGCAGAGTCTAGACAGACTCGGGCAGGACTGGTTTCCAGACCTCAGTCACACATTGGTTTACGACGGTCGAAGTGCACGTGTCACCAGCACCGGTGCGAGGCTTCTGACGCTGAGATTTCACAGTCATTTCTAGGGAGGGGATAGAAAGGGCCAGAACATTTTCTCAGGAGGGTAACATCCATCCGTACACATCCATCCTGAGTGCTTCTACACGAGACCCCAAAACTGCCCCCTCTAAACATAAATGAGAAACCCACGCAGAGAATGGCAAGTCATTAGAAAGGATTCTTGGCACACAGATTTCTTTTTCAGAATAGGAAGCTGAGGTTTTCCTCTTGTTCATAGGAATAAACATTTCACATTGCGCACCGAGTTTGTTGGGTCTCCCCTGAACAGAAGGCCGCGGCCGCGCCTCAGCTCCCTTCTTCCTGTTCCCGAGTCTTCGGGAGCTGCGGGGCCTCTGCTAGTTGGTTACTGTTTTCCTGAACGGACTCATTTTTCTTTTCCACCATCACCGCACTCCGTGCCGTGGCGACAGACGCTGTGTATACATTTCTTGAGTTTTGATTGAATTACAATGAACTGACTTTTCTCAGTTTTCTTTCTTTTCCGGCTATGTTTCCTTCTGGTTCATTTATGGAGAACAAGGCCAGTGATCAAGTGAAAGACCTCTCCAGGGCATTTTCTCCTACCTAAACCTGTTTGCCAGCTTGACATGAGAGGATAACCATCCGCCGAAGCGTGATTAAGACACTGATTTGTACACTCTTTCCCACTAGCAGTGTCTATAAATGTTACTTACAGATCACAGAGTTGATTTTTTAGACAGAAGAGAGAGCTCCAGCTTAATTTTTATTTAAAATACTTGAGCTCTTCCAACACATCCACAAAACGGATCCAGGCCAAGTTATAGAAATAGTCACCTCCATGGGGCATGGTCTCTGTGTCATGTTGTTTTTCAGTCCCCAGAGTTCGTCTTGACTCCATTTAGAAATGTTTTTGTATTTCTTTGTTTTCATTCTTCTGTGTAGTCCCCAACTACCAGTTGCTGTGCACTGATTACACTGAAGATAGATCATTGAATGATTTCAAGTTATTTTCCTTCGAGCTAGCCTCAACCTCTTTATCATTACTGTATCAGGCTGGGTGGCTGCACTTCATTACAGATGATCCCTAAAAAGAGTATGACATATAATATTTAAAGGTAAGTATTTCTGTCAGTGATTACCATCCATGATTTTCTGGGTACACAGTTTATTTAGTTCATTCAACAAAATCTCTCCCTTTATTACAAAATCTCCCTAGCTATTCTTCAGAAATTTGTTTATGTCCCAGAATATAATCATGGCAGATTTTTCTGAAATGGATAGCATTTGCAATTTGTAAGGCCCACTAAGAAGCACCAAAGTCTCTCTTAAGAGAAACCCAGCCAAGTGTGTTGGTGCATGCCTGTATTCCCGGCCTCAGGAGGCCAGGATTGGGAGTCTGAGGCCAACCTGGGTTTCAGGCTGAAACCCCATCTTAAAAATAGATAGTGCTCAACTGTCTGTAATAGGCATAGAGAACATGATAATGGAAACACACTACCTTCTTGAAAACTTGGTTGTTTTTTTTTTCATTTGTATTGGTCTGTTTTCTTGCTGTAAAAAAAGATAAGACTGAAACTTTGACTGAGAACCACACGACTGGATTTGACTGGCTGCATTTCAGACCAAAGACACACCATAGCTCCTCTCATCCCGTGTTTCATAGGAAGAAGCTGCTCTTCCGTAACTTAGGAAATGTGTCCCTGCCGCTCTGCTTTGCTGTGGGACTCAGTGTCCTGCACACTGCAGCAGGTGCCGGGGCCCACCCGGCCCTGGGGCCTCCCTGGGGCTCTCTGCTTGGTCCCCTGACTTTAATCTCTTTGCTTCTCACTCACTGGGGCTGAGTGACACCTGTCACCTGCAGATCTTCGTGTGGAGCCCTAGACCCGCTTAGATATTTCCTCAGTACTTCAGGCCCATTGAGTGAGCTTGCCCGCCACGAATAATGCTCATATTCCACTCCACATTTTTGCCACCATGCTGTAGCGTTTCAAGAACCTTTAGATGTCCTTAATGGAGAACACCAGCATGGGTAGGTGAAGAATGAAATCTTACTACAGCCTGACATTTATGATTCTACCAGTGGCTACACGAGCGGACGTAATTATTTTACAACAGCATTGGGACAGGCAGATGTTTGTTCTTACACACGTGTGTGTGTGTGTGTGTGTGTGTGTGTGTGTGTGTCCCAAGGTGTCCAGAACAGAGTGGCAATTTCCTCTTGTGTGTGTCCTGACAGATTGGGAGGATAATGCGTGGGCCGTTCATGAAGTTTGTGGCTCACGCGGCCTCGTTCACCATCTTCCTGGGGCTGCTGGTCATGAACGCGGCAGACAGATTCGAAGGCACCAAGCTGCTGCCCAACGAGACCAGCGTGGACCACGCGCGGCAGCTCTTCCGGATGAAGACGTCCTGCTTCTCGTGGATGGAGATGCTCATCATATCCTGGGTGGTCGGTGAGGACCGCGCACGCCCCACCTCGCGGCGCTGGTGGCCCTCGCGCTCAGGCAGAACGGCAAACGCAGATGCCGCAGCGCGAGCCACGCGCGAGCCGCGCTCCCAGCTCCCCGCGCTCCCAGCTCCCCGCGCTCCCAGCTCCCCGCGCTCCCAGCTCCCCGCGCTCCCAGCTCCCCGCGCTCCCAGCTCCCCGCGCTCCCAGCTCCCCGCGCTCCCAGCTCCCCGCTTTCCTCTATTGCTGGGTGTGCTAGTCCGTCTTCTCTGTGCCTTCTGCACTAAAAAAATCAAAGCCCGGGAAGAAAGGCCCGGGATAGTACTAATCAAAGCCCGGGAAGAAAGGCCCGGGATAGTACTAATCAAAGCCCGGGAAGAAAGGCCCGGGATAGTACTAATCAAAGCCCGGGAAGAAAGGCCCGGGATAGTACTAATCAAAGCCCGGGAAGAAAGGCCCGGGATAGTACTAATCAAACCCCGGGAAGAAAGGCCCGGGATAGTACTAATCAAAGCCCGGGAGAGCTGCCACCCGTGTGATTTTGTGTGGAGATTGCTAGAAATGGAGCAGATGTCCTCTCCTCGTTAGTGGATGTTGATGAGGGCCGGGGCATGTGGAAGGCCGGGGCATGTGGAAGGTGCTTTTTGGATATCAGATCTTTAAGCTCTCTCTGCTTCTGTTTCTGATCTGTAACATATATATTGTTGTTGTTGTCAGATGTGGGGCTTGAACTCTGGGCCTGAGCGCTGACCCGCAGCTCTTCAGCTCAAGGCGAGCGCTCTCCCCCTTTGAAGCACAGCACCACTTCTGGTGTTCTGGTGGTTTATTGGAGATAAGAGGCTCATAGACTTTCCTGCCCAAGCTGGCTTTGAACTACGACCCTCAGATCTCAGCCTCTTGAGTAGCTGGGATTACAGGTGTAAGCCACCAGTGCCCAGCTGAACATTTTCTTCTTAATCATGGATTCTCTTCATTATCTTTCTGCTTCCCTCCTCCTCCTCCTCCCTCTCCTCCTTCTTCTCCTCCTTTTCTTCCTCCTCCTTTTCCTCTTCCTCCTCCTCCTCCCTCTCCTCCTTCTCCTCCTCCTCCCTCTCCTCCTCTTCCTCCTCTTCCTTCTCTTCCCTCTCCTCCTCTTCTTCCTCTCCTCCTCTTCTTCCTCCTCCTCTTCCTCTTCCTCCTCCTCCTCTTCCTCCTCCTCCTCTTCCTCCTCCTCCTCCTTCTCCTCCCTCTCCTCCTGCACCTCTCAAGTAATATTCTGAAGTATGTGCAGTTTGAAGTAGGAAGCGCTCTGAGAGTGTTTGTGATCATTGTCTGAGTCCCAGGCACCGGGCTAGGCAGGGTGCTGGTTTACTTTTACTTCGGCCTTGTAACTCTGTGTGAAGGAGGTGCCAATGGCCGTCCTCATCTTCAAAGGTTTAGAAAGCTTAAGTGGCAGGCTGGAGACTTCACAGAGAACCAGTGTTAAAGTTCTCAACCCCCCAAGGGTCAGATCTCAAAGCAAGTATTATTTCCAAACACTGAATGTTTGGAAAGACTATGTAACTTTATCAAAAGTGGCATGAAAATGTGCGTCATTAGCACCCCTGACCGGCCACCTGCTACGCTGCGACATTGAAACCTGACATTTTCAGCTTTCTAACTTGACTTAATTGCAGAAAGGCTCTCTAATGTGTGCAGGCTTCTCAGGACAGGGGCTGGCATTGCTGGGTGGGGAGGAGGTGGGAATAGGCTGGATAGGAAAGCCGGGCCAGAGGCTGGAGAGTTTTCGGTGTGAGCCGAGAGCTTTCAGATGTCACTGACAGGAGCGAGGAGGCCCCGTGGGACTGACGTGCTGTGTATCCCCTTTCCGACACAGGCATGATATGGGCTGAATGTAAAGAAATCTGGATCCAGGGCCCCAAAGAGTACCTGTTTGAGCTGTGGAACATGCTGGACTTCGGCATGCTGGCCATCTTCGCGGCCTCGTTCATTGCCAGGTTCATGGCGTTCTGGCACGCTTCCAAAGCCCAGAGCATCATCGACGCCAACGACACGCTGAAGGATTTGACCAAAGTTGCCTTGGGAGACAACGTGAAATACTACAATTTGGGTGAGCCGACACACACAGACCTACAAGCGGATCGTTTTCTTGTAAAAGACACGCCAGCTATACTTGGTCATCTGTCCAATCCTTATAAAATTCCCATGTCGCTCCTTCGTCTCCAGGACCAAACCCCACGGAAAGTATCTGTCTTAGAGCTGGTGTTCATTTCCCCTTATCGATAAAAATAATTTGCATTTGAGTTCTTCACACACAGTGGAATATTATTCAGCATTACAAAAAGAAGGGAAGGCTGCCACGTGGTGACAGAGGGGAGGCAGGGCTGCCGGGTCGGAGGACGGCATGCTCTCACAGGTGGAGCTCAGGGAGGCCGGCGGTGTGGAGGGACGTGTGGACAGAGGGGTGGGCGCAGGTACATGCAGGACTCTGTGCGCCCGTGTTGCCGTACAGAGCAGGGACCGGGGTTGAGAATGGTAAGTCGCGTACTGAAAACTGGCACCTAAATGGATTTAGCGGCGACATCTCATAAAGGCGATTTTGCATGATTATTTTAGGTACTTTTTACCCCTCAAGATTTCAAAAGATACAGTTTTTAAGTTTCAAACTTATTTCTAGGTAATACTTCCATTCAGAGCATCGCAAAAATGGAGCTTCGTTTATTAGGCTTCTGTTTCCCTTTTCTAATTATACTTTCAGCAAATAAACAAATTTAATTTAAGAAGCATGTTTTTCCTCTTTGCTACGTACCGCCTTGTATTGTTTCCTAATAATGGTTTCTTAATTGGGTTTTTTGATGACCTTGTGTATTCATGCCAAGAAAATTCATAAGTGAGTTATCACAAAATCTTGTGGTAAAAATAGACTTGAGTCTATTCAGAGGAAATGTTACTTCTAGTAATTTTAAATAACCTTGTAATATAAATAATGTAATAAATGCTACAGTTTCTTAAGGAGCTGTCAGAAACTTTCCAAACACTGAATGTACATGAATTTAGGGTAGGAGCAATATTAAAGAGACGGAAAGCTACGATTAGTTGAGTCACTAGCACAGGTCCTGTTGGTTGAGACGTAGCTATGGATAGAGATAGCCTATCAGTCGTTATACTGCAATTTTTACAGACAACTGAATCTATAGTCTGAGTTCTTAATGATGTTAGCAATGTGTGCTTCTGTGGGAAATCACTAGCAAAGCAGACAGGTTGGCCTCACCTCTCAATCTCATCTTTCAGAACTTAAATAGGGCTGATGGCTCAAGAGCCCTTTAGGATGACAGACTTCTAGTATTGGTCTAGGTGGTTAATAGAATTATATTTCTTCTCGGAAGTTGGCTACCTAAGCAGCTTAAAGACACGCACCCTTCACCCGGCTCTCTGTCTTTTCCCAGCCAGGATACAGTGGGACCCGTCGGACCCTCAGATCATATCCGAAGGTCTGTATGCCATTGCGGTGGTGCTGAGTTTCTCCCGAATTGCGTACATCCTGCCAGCGAACGAGAGCTTCGGACCTCTGCAGATCTCGCTGGGGAGGACGGTGAAGGACATCTTCAAGTTCATGGTCATCTTCATCATGGTGTTTGTGGCCTTCATGATCGGCATGTTCAACCTCTACTCCTACTACATCGGCGCCAAGCAGAATGAGGCCTTCACCACGTGCGTGTCCTGGGGGCGTGGCTTGGGTGACGGAGAGCGGGCTGCAGATGGGCTAATTAGCAAATATTCCTTTAACAGTATTCACATACGTCTCTGCTCTAGTCAAAGATTTCTTGTCTAGTTCTTCATTTAAAAACAAAACAAAGGATTTAAAAAAAAAAAAAAGACTCTAAAACATAGGAACCTTCCTCCTCTTAAATGATCATAGCTAACACTTTAGTACCAAATACCAGGGTAAGTAGCTTTCATGCATAATTTTCTTATCACAACATTTAGATAGTTTCCAGATGCACCTGTAGTTGGCACCTGCAGTTGGCTGTAGCCCCTTGTGTTGGCCTGACACCCAGTAAATTCCTGAGCTTTCTGCTCACCCAGATTCCTGGGCATGGAACAGAATAACCTCTCCGGTCTTGTCGTGGGGAGGAATCTGCCCCATGGGAGCATGTGTTTGCTCTAAATATAGTTTTCTTGTTCTTGCTAAGGTGTAGCAGACTTGGTGACAAGTACGTGTCTTCAGATGGTGCCACCCAGTCCCTGCCTTCTCTCCAGTTCCCCTCCCATCCTTGCCACAGCTGTGGCGTTCATTTTTCACATAGCGTGTATTAAATACCATGGCTGTGTTAGTTCACCCTCCCTCCCTCCATTTCTGTGCCACCCTTTTCCCCCCATAAAAAGGTGAAAAACCCAACACAAATCCTTGAGATGTGGGTTTTCAGGGCCTCCATGGGTAGCACTGAAGGACAAGGGCATTGCTTCTCCCCCCACCCCTTGCAGGTTTCTCGGGAGGGGACCGCCTGGTTGGCCAAGGGGCTTAGCTCTGCCCAGGGGAGGGGACTGCCTGGTTGGCCAAGGGGCTTAGCTCTGCCCAGGGGAGGGGACTGCCTGGTTGGCCAGGGGGCTTAGCTCTGCCCAGGGGAGGGGACCACCTGGTTGGCCAGGGGGCTTAGCTCTGCCCAGGGGAGGGGACCACCTGGTTGGCCAGGGGGCTTAGCTCCTCCCTGCAATCCCTGCAGCACTGAGTTCTGGGATGCAGGGGTGCTGTGTAAGTCCAGGCTGCCATGTTTCCTTCAAGACGCCTGTATTTTCTATTGGGTAGGAGTAAAAGTACAGATGGATCAGAGACCTAGGAAGACTAGCAATTTGTATTTTATTAATAAGCAAAATACTTAACAAGTCTGTGGACAAAGCAGTTTGATTCTTTCAAATGTTAAGACGTATGATGGTTGAAGTGAGGCTGGCCTTTACTGAGAACCTGTTCTGTGCCAGATAGTCTGTGTTTGGTATGACCGTGTTCTTCCCCAAAATACGTCATCATGCACATTCAGCCGAGAAGGACACAGCGGCTCAGGCAAGTGAATTTTCCATGAAGCCCGGCGCTGTTGGCTCACGCCTATAATCCTAGCTATTCAGGAGGCTGAGATCTTAGGATCGCGGTTCAAAGCCAGCCCGGGCAGGAAAGTCCGTGAGACTCTTATCTCCAATAAACCACCAGAAAACCAGACGTGGCACTGTGGCTCAAGTGGTAGAGTGCTTGCCTTGAGCTGAAGAGCTGAGGGACAGTGCCCAGGCTCAGAGTTCCAGCCCCACAACTGAGTAAAAAAAAAAAAAAAAAAATTTCCATGAATCCTTAGCGATTTGCAAAGATACAGAGTCAATTCAAACGTTGTGCGGTTGTAATTCTTACACGAGAGTCTGCATCTCCTTATTTTCTGTGGCTGTCCCCTAGCGTGGAGGAGAGCTTTAAGACGCTGTTCTGGGCCATCTTTGGGCTTTCGGAGGTGAAGTCTGTGGTGATCAACTACAACCACAAGTTCATCGAGAACATCGGCTACGTGCTGTATGGTGTCTACAACGTCACCATGGTCATCGTGCTGCTGAACATGCTCATTGCCATGATCAACAGCTCCTTCCAGGAGATCGAGGTACGCCAGGCCGGCGTGCCTGCCCTTGCGGGATGGGTTAGCGGTGTCCCAGAGAGCAAGGTGGCAGTGGGCAGGGAACAGGTGTCCCTACCTCTCCTCCGCTCTTCCCTCCTCTTTCATATGCCTGCTCGTAAGCCAGAGCATTCTCACTCTGCCTGTAGGCAGGACGATGAACAAAAGAAGTTAGACACATCTAATTCATAGACCGAAGAAATACAGCGCGAGCATGGATTGTTACTCAAATACCAATGCTTCCACACATTTCTGTTGCTTCCTGTTTTGGGCAGCACCTCCAAATCGATCCATTTCCAAGTTGAGAATAAGTAGTACAAATCTCTGTTCCAGCGCTTCATCTGGGTCTTGTTTGGCGGGCAGTCAGTTTATAGAAGAGTGAGAGAGGACGCTGTCGGTGTTGGTTTAGAACGTGGGGAAACGCGTTAACGTTTGTCTTCACATGTATGAAGGCATGCGAGCTTTTTTTAATAGTATGGCAACAGAGCACAGGCAGGCGGCTCAGATGAGTGAGCACGGAGCCCAGAAGCCGTTCCTCCCCACATTGGAGACTTGAGTCCAGAAAGCCTCAGCATTACACAGCAAAGGCGCGCGTGCATGCATGTGCGTGTGCAGAACCTCTGCACACAGAGAAATCTGAGGCCTGATCTGCTGGCGGCCTCAGGTGGTCAGCGCACCCCAGGGGGGCTGGGCACGCACCCCCAGCACACCCCCTTTCTGAGCGGCTGTGTGTTGTGCACAGGACGATGCCGATGTGGAGTGGAAGTTCGCCAGGGCCAAGCTCTGGTTCTCCTACTTCGAGGAGGGCAGGACGCTGCCGGTCCCGTTCAACCTGGTGCCCAGCCCCAAGTCCCTCTTCTATCTCCTGGTCAAGTTGAAGAAGTGGGTTTCGGAGCTGTTTGTGGGGCACAGAAAAGGCTTCCGGGAGGACGCGGAGATGAGCGAGGTAACCGGGAGCCTGGACGCCCTCACCCGGTCGCCGCCGAGCAGGCACGGTGTGTGACGGCCGGGCCTGGTCACATAGTCCAGATCACCGTCCCCCACGCAGGGCTCGCCCATCCCCGCCCAGCCGCTTGGTCCAGCACAGGCCTCCTAGTGTGAGCCGCGAGTTCACACAACATCCCAGCAATGACGTGCAGGGCACGGCAGGCGCTAAACGGGCCTCCCCCCTTCCCACGCTGCGGGGTCCACCTTTGCTGTTCTGGTGACAGTCGCTTTCCCAGTGGCTTATAGAGCAACGTGCAGTATCACAGTTACGGCTGGCAGGACCTCACGTCTACGTTGAAAAGTTCTGAACTCGGCTGCTCACATACGATGTGGGAGCTGAGCGTCTTCAGTCCATAGCTGGGGAAGGAACGGTCTGGGGGCACCAGCTGATCCCCTCCAGAGTTCTAGAACATTCTTGTCCTGGATTCCTCCACCGTATTAATGCAGGAGGAAATGATCACCACAACATAAAGGAGTCAGATGAATTGGCAGAGGAAGCTGGGCAGGGTGCGCATGCCTGTGCTGCCGGCATACCAGCTCTCAGGCCGATTGTAAGGTCTAGGTTGGCTAGTTTTCACTACAGACGTCCACGGCATTCTGCCAGTCCCGAGGAAGCCGTTTCCCATCACATAATGAAGACTGCAGGTCTGAGGAGAGGAAATGTTTAAGCACTTACCAAAGGAAGAACTCCAAAAGGAGGTGGGGGGTTGGGAGTGTGGATCAGGTGGTAGAGCACCAGCCAGTGACCAAAAGCAAGTGTCAGATAGTGAGGGCAGTCTCCATCTTAGACAAAATACCTGTTAGGGCGTTGCACCAGGTGGCTTTATAGACTGCAGAATGAAAAGTGGATTTGGCGCTGTAATTGTACTCATTTTGCTGTCTTTAAAAGAGTAAAGAAGAAAAGAAACTTGGAATTCTGGGAAGTCATGAAGATCTTTCAAAATTGTCACTTGACCAGAAACAGGTGAGATGAGATTTGGGGGGACAAAGCCTCACCCCGGTCAGGGCTGCCTTCGAGAAATAGGCAAGAGACAGTTAAAGAATTCTAACAACTTTCTTAAATCTTATTGGGAGGTCAAAGTAACCTACATAAAATTAGCAAGGTGTGTGTGTGTGTGTGCGTGCGTGCGTGCGCGCGTGCGTGTGTTCCGCATACATTTTTTAGTGGTGCTCGTTTCTAGGTCCTTGGGTGGGGGGTGGAGTATAGAAACAGCAATGTGTTGAGAGAGGAATTTCTCTCGGACCCAGGGACGATTCAAAGCGTCGGTAGATTAGGGGAACACGCCTGGCCAGTGCAGGCTGTCAGAGCGTGGGGTGGTGGCACACCTGGAAGCCCAGGAGGACATGGAGAAGAAGAGGCTGCTGGAATTTAGTGGCACTTGTGGCTGGTCCTGCGGGCATAACTCCCTAATTTGAAGAAGGAGAATCTTTGGAGATGAGGTTATTTGCTTCCTTGCTTAGTGCAGCACAGAGTAGGCTACAACAGGAAGTCAGAGACAAATGACAGTTAAAGAAGTTAGAGACGAAGTACAGGAGTGGTGTGTCAGACAGGAATTCCACTCGGTGCCAGGTAGTAACCCATGTCGCAACGGCCTAAACAAAACCGTGGCTCTCAGAGACAGCCAGACGCGAGGGAACTCTGAGCCACGCTTGTTTCCGGCGCCCTTTGGGACAGCAGGTGAGTGCGATGTCATTTGCAAGTAACACAGCCAAGTGCGGTTTGGGGTTCTGGGGTGCTGGGCACAGTCAGTGAGCCTTCGCCTGTATTTGGTCTTCAGCCTGGTTTGGCTCAAAATCAGTTAAGGAGGATTTTCTTGAGGGTGTGTTGTTTGTTTTTTTCATTGTTAAGGGCTGTGGAAAACCAAGGAAGGAAGGAAATACAGGGCAGAGTTTGTGCCTCTCCACCCTAAAATATTTCTCATCCAGAGGTTCACAGAGCAGTCTGGGCGGGTCTGGTGACGGTGAGCAGACAGGGTGCTGTGCCGATCGCACTGTGCCGAGGCTGTCACCAGGGCGCTGTGGTGATCGCACTGTGCCGAGGCTGTCACCAGGGTGCTGTGGTGATCGCACTGTGCCGAGGCTGTCACCAGGACACTGTGCCGATCGCACTGTGCCGAGGCTGTCACCAGGGCGCTGTGCCGATCGCACTGTGCCGAGGCTGTCACCAGCGCGCTGTGGTGATCGCACTGTGCCGAGGCTGTCACCAGCGTGCTGTGGTGATCGCACTGTGCCGAGGCTGTCACCAGGACGCTGTGCCGATCGCACTGTGCCGAGGCTGTCACCAGGACACATGCGCGTGCCCCACAGACCCCCTGCCATTTGCAGAGCGTGGCAGCGGTCAAGCTGACTTCCAGGCACACTGCCCCAGGGCGCGGTGCAGGAAGGACAGACACCCACACAGCCCCGCTGGTTGGGAGGGCCGAGCAGTCAGACCGGGCCAGGAACAGTCCCGAGAAAGAACGCAACCGAGCACAAGATCTAGCTCAAAAATGTTAAGTGGATGTATCGGGAAAAAAAGTAACTTGAAGTGAACGAATTAGTGGAAGAAAGAGAAATGGTGATGGACGATTACGTCTGAGTAGATCTGGAAGGCAACGTTGCCTGAATTGTGCACAAATTACACACGGGCGGTCTCTCCACCCCCTCCATCCCTCCCCCCTCCCCTCCTCTCTCCTTTTTGCGTCTCTCATTTCGCTCTCTGTCCTCCGTTTCTCTCCCTCTCCTCCCTCTCCGCTCCCATTTCTCTCTTTCCCACTTGCTCCCTCTTACTCCTCTCCCTTCTCTTTTTGCCCTCTCCACTCTCCTCCCTTGCCTCTCCCCCTCTCCCCCTCTCCTCTCCCCCCTCCCCCCTTTCCTCTCCCTTCTCTCCCCTGCCTCCCCCTCTCTCTCCCTCCTCTCCCTCCTCTCCCCCTTTCCTCTCCCTCCTCTCCCCCGCCTCTCCCCCCTCTCCTCCCTTGCCTCTCCCCCGCCTCCCTCCTTTCTTCTCCCCCCTCTCCCCCGCCTCCCTCCTTTCCTCTCCTTCCTCTCCCCCGCCTCTCCCCCCTCTCCCCCACCTCTCCCCCCTCTCCCCCGCCTCTCTCCCACCTCTCCCCCCTCTCCTCCCTTGCCTCTCCCCCGCCTCCCTCCTTTCTTCTCCCCCCTCTCCCCCGCCTCCCTCCTTTCCTCTCCCTCCTCTCCCCCGCCTCTCCCCCACCTCTCCCCCCTCTCCCCCTCCTCTCCCCCCTCTCCCCCACCTCTCCTTCCTCTCCCTGGCTCTCCCCCCTCTCCCCCGTTTCTCCCCCACCTCTCCCCCGTTTCTCCCCCCTCTCCCCGCCTCTCCCTATCTCCCTTACCTCCTTCTCATTCCTCGTTTCCCTCCTCTCTCTGATCGCTTCTCTTCCTCTTTTCTCTCCCGTTTCCTTCCTTTCCTCTCTCCTCCCTCTCCGTTTCGTTCTCATCCCCCCATCTTTCTCCGCCTCTTTCCTCTCTCTGGCTCTCCTCTTTTCTCTGCCACCCCCTCTTCTGTCCCTTCTCTCTCCCCTCTTTCTTTCTCCTCTGCTACCGCTCTTCGCATCTCCTCCTCTCGTTCGTCCCTCTCGTCTCTTCCTCTTCTCTCCCCTTCTTTTTATTTTGGGGGGGGTGTTGGGTCGTGGGGCCTGAACTCTGGGCCTGGGCGCTGTCCCTCAGCTCTTCAGCTCAAGGCTAGCGCTCTACCACTTGAGCCACAGCACCACTTCCGGCTTTTTTCTTTTTGCTTATGTGGTCCTGAGGAATGGAACCCAGGGCCTCTGGCATGCAAGGCAAGCGCTCTACCACTGAGCCACCTTCCCAGCCCCCCCTTCTTGTTCTCGCCTCCTCTCCTCACTCTGCTTCCTGTCTCTTCTCTCTTGTTTACTCTTCCCTCTTGTCTCCACTCTTCTTTCTCTTCTGATTTCTCCTCTCTCCCACCCTCTTTTCCGTCTCCCTCCCCCTGTCTCTCTCTCTCTCTCCCTCCCCCTCTCTCTGGCATGAGCACTCTCAACCCCCTTCCCCTCCCTCACCGCCCCCCCCCCCCATGTTCCAGCCATGGACTTAGGCCTGAGAAAAGCCTCACTGGGTTCTGGAGACTCGAAGGCAGCCTGAACTAATTGCGATGAAACACCTAGCCAGGCACATGTAGCAGATGGAGTTTTCTACAGTTACCTTGGCGCAGTGAAATTATTCTGGAATTTCCATGCCAAGAAGAGGCCACCAACGGAGGAAGGGGGGTCATTGCAGATGGATGGACGGACGGACAAGGACGGGGAACGCTCACAAAAGAATACAGTTAACTTCTCCAAACGTTTATCCAACCAATTTAACAAAGGGTGATGAACTTTGAGAAACTTGGCTGGCGTGTGCGTGTGTGAGGCTCAACAAGGGCCACACACTCCCACGAGAACCAGGACGGGGTGACGGACGGCCACACACTCCCACGAGAACCAGGACGGGGTGACGGACGGCCACACACTCCCACGAGAACCAGGACGGGGTGACGGACGGCCACACACTCCCGTCAGAACCAGGACGGGGTGACGGACACCGACGTTTCCAGGATGACTCTAGTGAGGGAGGCCCTTAGATTAAACCCGGCTCTGCCAGCTCAGCCCCTGCGCCAGCAGCACACCATTAGCAACAGCTTCGCAAGGTAGGAGAAGCTGTGACAACAGAGTACATGTTATCCGCATGTGAATAATAACATCTAAGAAGAGCGCGCACGGTGGGGGTGGGGGGAGCTCTTAGGTCTGCGGTGCTTGCGTCTCCCTTTGAGAATCCTGGTATCATGGGCAGCATGCTGCACCGTGGTCTCTTCTAATTAAGAGGTTATGAAGTATTAGCTGGGCGCTGGTGCCTTCTGCCTGTCCCCTTAGCTACTCAGGAGGCTGAGAGTGATGTTCAAAGCCAGTCCAGGCAGAAAAAGTCCACAAGACTTCTCTCCAATGAACTACTTACAAAAAGCCAGAAGTGGCGCTGTGGCTCCAGTGGTAGAGCGCTAGCCTTGAGCCCAGAGAAGCTTAGGGACAGTGCCTGGGCCTTGAGTTCCAGGCCCAGGACCAGCAAAAAAAAAAAAATATTAGTAACTCTCTATAAAACTCAAGTACGCAGAATAGCCACAATAAATAGAGGTAGGTACACATAGACAATTGGTTCTATATATACTCATGTGTCTGTATGCATATATATGTATGTATGTGTATGCACATATGTATAGATATGTACATATATATATTATGTAGACTTGCCTTGGAGTACTGATGCTCTGCTTCAAGGCCTTCACCACTCTGGCTTAGACAACTCATTTCTTAAGTACACTTGTACAAAAGCTGCCATTTTATGGCAAAGAAATGGATGTTTTATAGAACAATCCAAAGAGGCATCTCTCCCTGACTAGTCACCTTCCATTCATGATTGGCAAAGTGTTTGCTATAACAAAAGCATCGCTCAATTGCAAAGAGCAGGCCAGTCAACTGCCTATGTCTCCACTGTACCGACTAGATTAAACCAGCCGTGCAGGCTACCCAGAGCCTGGTACTTAGGGGAAAAGAGCTGTTGGCAGTGTCCCAGCACCACGTGCCAGCGGTGCCTTCTCCCTGCCTCTTCTCTGGGGGCCACACGCTGGCTGTGAAGGAGGTGATCTAGTCTCTGGTCTCTGCTTGAGGAGCCTGGGCCCACGGGAGGAAGACTACTAGCCTGAAGTCCCATCTCAGACAAATGGTAGGCCCAGAGTCAGCTCGACTGGTAGAGCAGGTTTTCAAGCCCCGTATAACACGACTGCGCACACCCTCGCTTCCCCACGGACCATCGTCGGACACGGCCGTGGCTGCCTGGCGCACGGCTCCGTTCCCGGCTTCTGACCGGAACGAGAGACTTCCACCCACAACATGAGAGCGCCGAGAGAAGACGGACACTCGGACATTCTGTGAACAGCACACAGCTGCGTTTCCCACTCTGAACTTACAATCAACCCAGGCTTGTGGCAAACGGTTAGTAGAAAATGAAAAAGCTACAGCGCACGCAGAGAATAGGAAAGTTTAAGAGAAGCTCCTGCTTCGTTCAGAGCTGGCTTGTGGGACTTCAGGGCCAGAGGGAGCGCAGCACTGGGAGGCTCAGGGTGGATTCACCGGAGGAAGCTGGCGCCCAGTGCTCTCTGCCTCCATGAGTCCTGCGTCCACACCACCGGCGGTGCACGCCCTGCTCCCAGCCTAGCGCTCAGCTCTCCAAGAACAGCCCCGAGCACTTTTCCAGTTTGAAGCTGAGCTGCTGTGCGTGGAAATGAATTGAAGACGAGGACTTGCTGCCACCCAGTGGCGACAGGCCCTCCTTACACCTGGGCTGCGTTTCCCAATTTTTCCATAAGTATTTGTTGGATTTGTATGGTATGTTAGAAGAAACTAATAGAAATAGAATTAATCATAGAAATCAATAGAAATTAAAACGGCATGTCATATTTACATTCAAATCTAACGTTTCACACTTAGAGCTAGTCACACAATAACAAATGCGTACGTAGACGCTTGGTCCTGAGTCATCAGCTGTATTAGGCGAGAGCGTGTGTGTTCAGGGTGGTATGGCCGTAGACTGGTTAGCCATCTTAGGGGCTCCCAATCAGAGGTGACTTTGCCTCTCCTCCGGTCCCGGGGCCGTGGCTTTGGGGTGGTTTGGCCGCGGCATGGGTGGTGAGGAGCTGCTGGTGCTGCAGTGCGCGGCACGAGTTTCCAGCTCCGGAGGCTGAGGGCGCGTGGCTGGGGAAGCCCAGCGCGCGTCATATTGTATGTGAACCTGGGCTCGGACCCAGGCGTGCGTGCCTGGCATCGCGGAGCGCCCGCAAAGCAACTGTCACTGCTCAAGAAGTGCCTCCAGGCCTTCATCCTCTTCCAGCCCTGCTCCAGGGCACACGCCACGGGCCCTGCTTGCCGCGGCCTGCAGCACGCCGACAGCACGCGTGTAGCACGGCAGCGAGGAGGGGCGGCCGGGCGGCCGGAAAGGAACACAATGCCCGCTTCTCAGGTGGGCCGGCGAGGACAAGACTCAGAGGCGCTCACTGCTCCTTGAGCTCACACCCACGCCCTGCCTTGAGCTCACACCCACGCCCTGCTCACACCCACGCCAGGCCTTGAGCTCACACCCACGCCAGGCCTTGAGCTCACACCCACGCCGGGCCTTGAGCTCACACCCACGCCCTGCCTTGAGCTCACACCACACCCTGCCTTGAGCTCACACCCACGCCGGGCCTTGAGCTCACACCCACACCAGGCCTTGAGTTCACACACACACACACACACACACACACACACACACACGCCTGGGCCACGGGCAGGAAGAAGCACTTAGGGATTGGGAAAGAGCAAATGAATGGAGAGCCATGTGCTGTGCACAAAGCATGAAGCGGGGAGGCTTCCCTGGTGTGTTTGCCGGGGGCAAACGGGAGAGAGGGGCCTCACTATTTTCAAACTGACATTGTTTTCACAGTTCTTTCCAGTCTTGCCATCTCTTACCTCATTTCACTGCAGCTATTTCTGGCTTTCCCTTGAATTCCCAGCGCCCAGTCCTACGCCTTGCGAGCAGCGCGGAGCTGCGCACGCAGCCACTGTGGCTCTAGGAGGCCGCAGCGGCGGAGCGCGTGGACACCCATCGCGGGCTCTCTCTGCGTCTCCTCAGCGCGTCTGCTCCCCCTGACCTGTCCCGTGAGCTAGAGCAGCCTGTGGAGACAGCCTTAGAGATCTTTCCCCCGCTCCTGGACAGACAGTTATACCCAGAAACATTCGTAGAGGAAGTTCCCAGCTGGGCAATGCGCAGCACGGTTCTGCGTTGAGATCTCAGATGGGCTTCCGTCAGGAAACACCATTGACAAGGCTGGCGGGATGGACTATGCTGTGGATCCCCAATGCAAAGGACGTCCCGGGCTTCCTCCGCACCAAGTCTGGCCCCCCAGCCTTACCAGGGTTTGCCTTCGGGATCCCATGGCAGGTGTGGCTGTTGGTGATGTAAGAACGGCACCATTGCCAGTGGTTGTCTTATTGGAAGGCTACAGCGTCTCACGGCAATGGGGTGAAAAGCCACAGTGTGAGGGCCCCACGGCCTCTGCTGGCCACGCAGGGACGGGGCGGGGTGGGGGAGGGGTGTGGAGGGACGGGAGGGGCAGGGGGGAGGGGCGTGGAGGGACGGGAGGGCCGTTTTGGAGGCAGAATCTCAAGCGAGTGACGGGTAATGGCCCTGTACAGGTAGATAAGATTACTCACGTACACGAGATTACCTGTGGTTATGCATGGAACCAATGATCCCAGACATTACTTGGGACCAACAACAATTTCTAATTCTTTTCGAATTGCAGCTTGCGCACGATACACAACCCAGTATAAGGAGCTCAGAAGACTTGCACTTAAATAGTCTCAATAGCCCTCCAGGAAGGTATCAGGTGCGTATCCATTTGAAGGCAGGAGGGCCAGTTACCGGTCATGTGTAGATTCTCAAACTATGTAATGAAATGGAAATGGGATAGGAGGATATGTTTCTCAGCTTGAAAATGACATATTCCCACAGCAAATATTTATCCAGAGCAACATGCCAGGCATGTCTTAAGTACTGAATAGGTAAGTAAACAACTTAGAGAAAGCCTTGGGAGATGCTCACCACAGAAGGCTGACCTTAGATCATAAGCGAGTAACATTCACCTCAGACCTCACCATTCAGGTATTTCTGCTTGCTATGAAAATTCTGCTAGATGTCTGTATTATATATAGTTAGACAGATAATATAGGTAAGTGTTTATGGAGAGAAACCTACGTGGCTATGTGCCTGCGTCTAGATGCTGAACGTGGTATTCTAGAATTCACAGCGAGCATAGCATCAAAGCTGGCTCTGGGTCCTGGTGAGGCCGCGTGTGGGGCCGTCCGAGACGACTTGGCCTCCTTCTCCTCTTCCGGTGGGGCCGGCACTTGGCTCGCGCCTGTCCCGCAGCAGGGCTGCCTGTGCGTCTCCAGCGCTTTAAGAGGAACGCAGGCGATGGTGCCGGGACTTGGGTGCTGGACGTTTTCTCTGCGGAGGTGAAGTCCTTAGCCCAGAGAAGATGGCGGCCACCCAAAGCGGAGTGGGGCCGTGCTGTTGTCCTCACCTGCTCACCTTGGATAGTCTTCACTCCCAAAGCGCTGGCCCACGCGGGGCAGCCCAGGAGTGAGGGTCGAGGAGAGGGCTTCCCCGGCCCAGCTCTGAGCCGAGCGTCTCCTTCTCTGTCTAGAAAGTAATGAAGCGGCTCATCAAAAGATACGTGCTGCAGGCGCAGGTGGACAAGGAGAGCGACGAAGTGAATGAAGGTGAGGGTCGGGAGGGGGATGAAGGTGAGGGTCGGGAGGGGGATGAAGGGGAGGGTCGGGAGGGGGGATGAAGGGGAGGGGTCGGGAGGGGGATGAAGGGGAGGGGTCGGGAGGGGGATGAAGGGGAGGGTCAGGAGGGGGATGAAGGTGAGGGGTCGGGAGGGGGATGAAGGGGAGGGGTCGGGAGGGGGAAGAAGGGGAGGGTCGGGAGGGGGAAGAAGGGGAGGGTTGGAGGGGGATGAAGGGGAGGGGTCGGGAGGGGGATGAAGGGGAGGGTCGGGAGGGGGGATGAAGGGGAGGGTCGGGAGGGGGATGAAGGGGAGGGGTCGGGAAGGGGATGAAGGGGAGGGGTCGGGAGGGGGATGAAGGGGAGGGTCAGGAGGGGGATGAAGGTGAGGGGGTCGGGAGGGGGGATGAAGGGGAGGGGTCGGGAGGGGGATGAAGGGGAGGGGTCGGGAGGGGGATGAAGGGGAGGGTCGGGAGGGGGATGAAGGGGAGGGGTCGGGAGGGGGATGAAGGGGAGGGGGTCGGGAGGGGGATGAAGGTGAGGGGTCGGGAGGGGGATGAAGGGGGAGGGGGTCGGGAGGGGGATGAAGGGGAGGGGTCGGGAGGGGGATGAAGGGGAGGGGTCGGGAGGGGGATGAAGGGGAGGGTCGGGAGGGGGATGAAGGGGAGGGGTCGGGAGGGGGATGAAGGGGAGGGGGTCGGGGAGGGGGATGAAGGGGAGGGTCGGGAGGGGGATGAAGGGGAGGGGTCGGGAGGGGTGGCTGGGGAGGTGGCGGGCCGATCCGAGCTGGGGTTACAGCCCTCCCCTGGCCCTCTCCAGCTGCGTCCTGGGGCAGCGTCAGAACTCGCTGTGGTCTGTCCACTCTCCCAAGATAACCAGGGCAGTAGCCACACGCTCCCCTGGAGAGCCGCTGACCCCTCTCCGCCCTTGCTTCCCCCAGGGGAACTGAAGGAAATCAAGCAGGACATCTCCAGCCTCCGCTACGAGCTCCTTGAAGAAAAGTCCCAGAACACAGAGGACCTAGCAGAACTCATAAGGAAACTCGGGGAGAAATTATCCTTGGAACCACATCAAGAGGAAAGCAGCAAAAGATAATCCAGATCCTTCCTTAGAAATCCGTCTTTGTCCACTTGAAGCCATATTGTTTTCTGATATATTTTTGTTAAGTGCCAATGATAAAGGAATAAAGTGAGATGACGGCTGGGCTCGCGGCCCGCGGGATCGCGGTGTCGTAGCTTTGCTGATTGTTTTATCATTGAGGTAAAGAGTGCAGATCATAAAGGAAGTTTTTTTGTCTAGTGGTTTGGAGCTTGTTTTTTTAAGACTGCTTTCTTGGGGTAACTGTGGGGACGAGGCTGTGCCGGCTTGAGAATGGGTCTCAGGTGACTAGAGAACCTGATCTTGGTGACCCCAGCTTTGAAGCGGGGAGGGGGAGGGGAGGGCAGTCTTCTTATCTTTAAATAATGCGGTGCGATCGTCACCTGTCTCCATCCTCAAAGAACCGGGCAGACAGAACGGCTTACGTTTTCTTATTCATCTCTTTGATGGCACTGCACTTCATGCGAAAAACTATTTTCCCCACTGACCCTTGCAAACACAGATGGTCTGATTGTGTGTGTGTGTGCATATATGTACACAGAATGCTTTTCCTGTATCTTTTGTAGCTACTGTGAATACTCAAAAGCTCTGTTATAGTTTTTTATTGTTACTCAAAAAATATTGTCTGAATAAGAACCTTTAGAGATGTGTCAACGGCCCCTGTCTGGGATTATCAGGGTGAATTGAAAGGATGTATTTTGAGCACTTTCTGAGGGCACCCATAGATAGATTCTCATACCTGGCTGTTGAGGGGTGAGAATTTGCACACACGCCCGGGCTCCTTTTGGTTGGTTTACTCCGCTCCCCAATGTGTAGGAGAAGAGTTGGCTTTTGTGGGCGTTCTCCAAGGGATTGTTGCAGCAGCCTAACTGAGAAGGCTCAACCTCTCACCAGAGGACGCTGGGCATTCGAGAGATGGGCTTTAGACTCCGTGAAGGAGGGTTCAGGGCAAGTCTCTTATTTTGTGTTAAAGATGAAACAGGAACTGAAAACCTTTTTTATCCCCGATAAAATCTATGTTGTCATTTTGTATGTGTGGCTGTTGCTCATTGAGAAGTTAGCCAGGCAAGAAAGTCCATTCCCACGTGTCCCGTGACAGTCTTGGCACCCAGTGTTGGTAAAACCCAGCCGCATACCAAATGCAGTGCCCAGCCAGGCTGCTGCGTGCCAAGACGATGTGGGCATGCAGGCGTTGCCCACGACAACCCCAGGGAACACGCCCTGGTTTTCCAGACGGACCGGCTGGACACGAAGCACGGCACCCCTGGAATTCGCCACGGCAATGAGCAAGGCAACAGCATCGTGGAAGGCACCTGGCTGGCCAGCGCTTGTAATCGGGATGGAGTCTGGCTTTGATCTCCTACTCCTCGCACACAGCTCCACTGCTTAAACTGAGCGAAGAGCCAGCTTCCTGTTTCCAATGCCCCCAGGCTTCTAGAGTCGTCCGCCGGTACCTGCAGCACATCCGCTGAGGGGGACAGACCCGGCCTCCAGGAGCGCGCGGGACATCCTCACTTCATTCCCCTCGGTCCTGCGCGGAAGCTGCATGCTGACATTTGGGAAGAGAATCTTGAACTTCCTCGTCCCCCACTTGGGTTCTAGTAATTATTATCCGGGAAAATAGACTTTGCGATCAACAAAAGAGCATTGTTTTGATTCGGAAGAAATTATATTATCATTGCTCAGGCCCGGCTCTGCTTTTACCTTAGCCTCTTCAGGAGCTCCGCGACTCAGCCCGACATTTCCCCTTCACTCTTCTGCTCGTGATGGGCTTTCATTAGCGGAGTTGGGAAAGGGCAGATGGCAGCATGTCCTTGCACTGAAAAAGTTCACCTGCAATCACCTTGTGGCTGTCATTTGTCAGCCCACAGAATGCGTATCTATACGCGTGCACATAAACATCCTGTCTACCACGATGCATGCGCATCCACACACATGATCCAAGACCCGCACACACTTCCCAACCATCCATCAGTACCTATGACACCAGGAAAAGACGACTTCGGCCCTTGCCTCTGCTCTCCCTTGTCCTTCCACGGTGGCTTCTCTTCGATGACGTCACCCCTTTTCCTGACTCTGAAGTCAGCTACCTCTTCTTTTCCTGCCTGGTTGTTCAGAGTACTTCACGCGGATGCAGGGCCCCGCCATCTTCCACCCCATCTGCCCAATGCCCGGCTCCATCCCGAGCTGAACACCCCAGGCCACACCGTGGTGTGGGTGTGCGTGCGTGTGGTTAGAGCAGGCTGGCTGGGGTGCCAGGCTCTCCTGGGGAGCGGGACCCTGCTCGGCGGGGGCTCGGCGCGGGCGCCCCACACCAGTGCCCTCACCTCTGCAGGGAGGCAGCCCTGCTGCCCCCTCACCCCACCCCACCCGGGTCCTGCCGGCTCCGCCTGGTCTCCCCCCTCCCCTTCCCTCCGCTCCCCTCCCCTCCCTTCCCCCCCTCCCCCGGGCAGCCGCACTGGAGCAGGAAAAGCTAGTGAAGCCGGTGCCGCCAGCGCCCCCTGCCAGGCAGGGAAGGCTAATAACAGGAGTGCAGGCTCGCCTCGGCAGGGGTGCAAACCAAGAGAAAGCCAACTGGAAGAGCAAAGCTAAAACTCTCTCCTCTCCAGTTGTAGACATGGGCGCGGGCCACAGTTTCAAGACGAGGACATGCAGTTTGCTTTGTGTGTGTGTGTGTGTGTGTGTGTGCGTGTGTGTGCGGGCGCGTGCGTGTGTGGGGCAGCCGCAGCCGCTCCTGGGTGCCACCCCGTGGTGGAGAGCTGGGGCGCGGGGTGCAGCTGCAGCTGCCGCGGGGCGGGAGGAGGCGGCCAGCCTCCAGGAACACCGTGACACAGGCTGGCTGCGGCCGGGGCTGCGTGGGTCACTGGCAGGCTCTCCCTGACATAACCACGGCAATGGACACGAGGCCCGGAAGACTGGGAACAGACAGAACGCAGTGGCGGCTTGACTTGTCCAAATCGGTGCGTCCGCAGCCACGCGGGGACGTCTGCAGGCCGTGTGTGCGCTCAGATGTCGCAGGCAGCTCTCAGGTTGATGGAGGTTTTTCAAGGATTCGTTGCATGAGTTTTTAAAATGAGTGATTTTAAAATGAAAAACAAAAAGTCTGTATTCACTGTAGAAGCGTGACACACATCAACAACAGATGCCAGCCACTAAGCCACATAAACGCCAGGCTGCGTCCTGATCAGACCTGAGGACTTTTCCTTTGGAAGTGGTGACATTCAGCCTTGGGAGATCCACATAACACGGCCACGCACAGAGACGACGCAGTGGCATCAGGACCTGACGCAGCCGCCGGGAGTCAGTCCCGTGCAGGGACAACAGGTCCTGGAGATGAAAGGCCCCCATCGCCGCCGGTGGTTGCTGGAGAATGGCTTCTAGACGCCCAGTGGGGCCGAGCCTCACACCCCTCACAGGACGTGCGGGCCCCTCCCCCCAGGAGAAAAGCAGACCACCCCCCATCACAGCCCATGGAGAAAGGAGGGCGCTCGGAGGAGCGGCGCAGGCGGCTGAGCTCGGGGGAGCCCACCCTGCACGGCCAGGCCCCGAATGAGAGGAGACAGATAAACACGAGGCTAGGGACGGAGGCGCGCCGGGCTGGCTGCTTGGCTCTGCTGCGGGTCTAGTTCAGATCCCTTGTCCTCATCACCGAGAGGGAACAAAGCACCATCTCTTTAGCAAGTTCTGGAAAAACGAACCCCACTGACGATCAAAGATGGGCACAGAGGTTCCGATGAGTGCCCCCCCCAAAGTGTAATTCTGGGAATCATTTAGCTCCATGTGTCTCAGGGAGGACAAAACATTCAAGACTCGCGGCGATGGCACACAATGCGCCATGCCCGCACCCCAAGCGTGAGGCGTGGGGGTCCTGGCCAAACTGGGTACAGAGCAAGACTGTGTTCCAGAAAGAAGAGGGGGGGAGGGAGGGTGAAAAGAGAAAGGAGAGGAGAAGGGAGGAGAGAGGAGCGAGGAAAGATGGTGTGGGGAGGGAAACCACACGTTCTCATTCTTTTCTTCCTGACCCTCCTGCCGTGTCAGCGTTTTCTGATACCTAGAATAAGACAAAGCAGGAGCAGTCCGCGCGCAGAGTGCTTGAACGTGGCCCCCGCCATGTGGCTCAGACCGAGGCGTGGAGCTTGTCACAAAGACGCCAGCCATTGTTTTTGTGCCACACCAGAATTGAAGCGCCGTCTCTCGCAGGGCCAAGGCGGGCAGTTTGCTCCCGCAAGCAGGTAATGGGGAAGAAGAGGCTCTCCAGAAGCAAGAGTGTTGAAGTCATCCTCAAACTCGGGTCAAGTTGCTCCTGTCTGCAGCCAAGTCAGAACAAATTGTCTTTCCATTTACCAGGAAAGGACGGGGGCGAACGGTGTCTTGACAAAAGCCAGCGCCAGAGGGCGCCATTCTCCTCCCTACGGAGGCCACGGAACTGGAGATGCTCCCCAGGGCCCCACAGTCCCTCGGCCGGCTTTCTAGAACATGCGGGAGGCAGGCAGGAAAGCTCTACCAGCAACAAGGCTCTCCGTTATGACACTGTCTCAGAAAGATCTGTATAGAACATGCCCCCAAAGTGCTTTTCTTTTCTTTAAATGTGTAAATGGAGGGAGACCGGTCGCTTGGTTCATCTTCTCCTCCTGGGAGGAGCGGGCGTGCTGCTCGCAGTCAGGATGCCCCTCCCTGCCTGCCCAGCCAGGGGAGGCGAGAATGAAAGGGGGAGCTGGTGAGGCCTCTGTCGGGGGGACCCTTTTCCTGCTTGGTGCACACGCAGCTCTGCCTTGGGGTAGAGGCTTCGCAGCCACGGGATGGATGGGGGGTAGGTAGGAGTCGACCCTGACTGGAGCTGGATGGAGCGCTCAGTGTGGGAGAGTTGGAGGGGGCTCGATCGCGCTCAGATCTGCGCAAGCATGTCACTGGCTAGCAGCAGCAGCAGCAGCAGCAGCGCCAGTCCTCTGTGGTAATTAACTTAGAAAAGGAGCCAGTGCGGCCCGGGGACCTCGCGCCACGGGGAGGTGAGGCAGCGGGGGAGGCGAGCGAGCATGTCCTAATGGCTCCTCCACATCCAGCTTGATTGACCGAGGCGAGAACAGCCTGTGCCATTCTTG